GCTCTACCACTTGAGCCACAGCGCCACTTCCGGCTTTTTTCTTTTTGCTTATGTGGTGCTGAGGAATCGAACCCAGGGCCTCGGGCATGCAAGGCAAGCGCTCTACCAATGAGCCACCTTCCCAGCCCCAAGAAGGGAGGACTTTTCTCCCAACTTACAGACAGCCTTCTTCATGGTCTTGCCTCATTTTTTACACATGGAGAGATGGACTCTGTCTGCCTCTCCTTCCCCCATCTCTTCCCCATAAGGTTATAGGTCCTATTGGATGAGAACCTTTTCCTTAGGACTTCATCTAACCTTATTTACCTCCTAAAAGCCCTTTCTAAGCATAGTCACATAAGGGTTTAGAGCTTTAGCACACAAATTTAATGGGAACACAATTCCGTTCATAACATAGTCTTAAGTTTAAGATATATACATGTATATGTATATATATATACATATACATATACATGTATATATCTTTTTTTTTTTTTGTCGGTCATGGGGCTTGAACTCTGGGCCTGGGCGCTGTCCCTCAGCTCTTCAGCTCAAGGCTAGCACTCTACCACTTGAGACACAGCGCCACTTCCAGCTTTTTTTTTCTTATGTAGTGCTAAGGAATCGAACCCAGGGCTTCATGCATGCAAGGCAAGCACTCTACCACTGAGCCACCTTCCCAGCCCATAAATAGGGTTTTCATCTAAGTCCACAGCCATCCTGAACTTAATATAGGGATCCCAGGTTAAGAATCCCTGAAATATTCAAGTAGGACATTCTTTTTTACTGTTATTATAATGGTGATGTAAAGAAGGGTTACAGTTACATAAATCAGGTAAAGAGTGTATTTCTTTTTGCACAGCATCGCCCCTTTCCTCACACTTATTCTCTCCCTGTTTTTCCCTACCATCTTCTACCCACAGTTGTAGAGTTCATTTTCAATATAGTGCTAGTGAATACCACTACTGCTTTTGTTCACCCTGTATCCCTTCGTTTCTGTCCCTCCCCTTATGTCGCCAAGGGCATAAAGAAGCAGACAGAATAAAAAGGAAAGAAAACAAAAACAGCAACAACAACAAAAGAAAACCTCATTTTTATTTCCTGGAGTTGTGGGACATTCTTGTTGGACACACACAGAGTGGTGAGGACAGATGATAGAATTAGGTGATTTGCCCGTAGCCAGTCAGTCAGGTGCAGTATGTGTATTGAATTGAAAAAGGGACATGATCTGTTCTTGTCTTGCTTTCTGATATTTTTCATTGTGTGTTCAAATATCAGAATGTGCTTTATCTTGCAGATAGCAGTAACCTGAATAGTGAACAGAAGAACTCCTGGACTTCTGAGGACTTGTGGCCAGACCCTTCTTTGAAAGGCCAGGCAGAAGCCAATGAAGAGGATGCTGGGCTTCGGAAAGCCCTAGATAGATTCTATGAAGTGTTTGGACATCCACAGCCAGCCTCTGGGAATCCACTCTCTGCGTTTGTCTGCCAGCACCTGTCTGAGAAAATCCCCGAACTGAGGGACCAGGAGAGCCAGAAATATGCCCTCCGCAGCTTCCAGATGGCACAGGTCATCTTCAACCGGGACGGCTACTCAGCCTTGCAGAGACATTCCAAGCACGCACACTTCTACCCTCTGGGAGCAGCAGACATCTCTCTGGATGATGAAGAGCCCATCCCAGGGCTATCAAAAGATATCATTTGTTATCTCTTGAAGCACTGCGTGATGACAGACCCATAACTGGTGCTGATGCTGAGAGCAAGCAGTACTGAAGATGATGTGATGCCTCCCTCAGAATCCCTGGGGGTCTCTTGTCAAATGTTTGTCCCCAGCCCAGACAAAGATAAGTGGTTTATAATTAAAGGCTGGCACCTGTGACTTGGTTCTAGATAGAGCCAATGAGTTCATAACAAGTTCCCTGTGGTCACCCACTCCCCACCACTTGCCTTGACCAAGGCCCTGGCTGGCTAGTTTAGGAATCCAAAGCCCAGGCTATACTCAGGGTGCCTGGGAAACAGGTCAGCAGCCCTCCTTTTTCTCCTTCTCCTCTTCCTAGTCATCTATGGGTATCTTGAGGGACCCTTTCCTTAATAAATGTCTTTTATCTGAGTCCTTTACTCACTATCTACACCTGGGAGAACCCTACCTAAGAGAACAAGCCTCTGGGAAATGAGTTTGCTTGCTTGCTTGCTTCCTTCCTTCCTTTCTTCCTTCCTTCCTCTCTCTCTGTCTCTGTCTCTCTGTCTCTGTCTCTCTCTCTCTCTTGCTCTCGCTCTCTCACTTTATTTTTTGTCAGTCATGGGGCTTGAACTCTGAGCCTGGGTGCCATCGCTCAGTTCTTCAGCTCAAGGCAAGCACTCTACCACTTGAGCCACAGCGCCACTTCCAGTTTTGTGGTGCTTAATTGGAGATAAGAGTCTGCCCTGGCTGACTTTGAACTGTGATCTTCAGGTCTCAACCTCCTGAGTAGCTAGGATTACAGGCATGAGCCACCAGAATCTGGCTGGAAAATGAGTTTTTTAAGTCTATAAATCTGTGTGTGGAGTCAAGACTTATACCAAATTATAAAATGGAGACGATGTGATGGAGAACTTAGGTCCTAAAACAACAGAAAGCATAATCATATCATCAGCAACCCTCAAAGCTAGAATTCCCTGATTTATATTAACTGCCTATGAGAAGGATATTTGGGCCATAAAATAGCAGCTAAAATTCACAGATTCAAAAGGTTTCTACACCTCCATCAGATGACAGTGTGAAAGGCAAGGAGACAAATACATGGCACATACCCAAGTATCTAAGCTCAGCTGACATAAAGTGGCCTTGCCAATCTGTGCTTGAAGAAAAGAAGAAGGGATAAGGGTGGAAAAGTGCAGCCCTGGAGCTCACTGGACACTGATGAAAGTGAACTATCACCTGTGGGTGGAGACAGGAGGGAGGGACTGGGAGCGGGTGAGGGAACAGAAGACACTGTACAAAAGGAAGTGTACTCATTACCTGACTCACGTCAGTGTAATCCCTCTGTATCACATTTATAATAACAATAAAGTAAATCAATTAAAAATGAGAATAAAGAGCTTATTCAGATAGAATCCTCCTTCCTCTTATTACTTTTTTCTTCTGCCCTGTCCTTGCCTCCAGAAAGTGCTTGCCCCGAGCAGGGCCTGGCTGCCATTCTTCCCCTATCCTCCGGGCCTGTGTTCTGCCTTGCCAGGGAGATCTTTAAATAGCTGCTTCAGGATTACACTGACAGATGCTCCACTCCACAGGTCATGTCCTGAACCCTGGTTTGAGACTGTTGATAGCATTGCATCACCTGGCACTATGTTCTCTGAAACTGCAGTTGGAAGCTTCAGATCATTCTTACATAAATTCCACTGACAGAATCATACCACTTGTTTGGGGGAGGGAGCGGAACAGCGAAAGACAGCCAACACCAGGCAAGTAGATTTGGAGAAACTTGAAGTGAAATGCAATTGGCATAAGATTCCAGAAGCTTTCCAAAAAGCAGATTATGCAAATGAAACATCCTAAAAGTGCACATTGAAAGGCAGTGTGCCCTCTTTGAGGACTCTGGTCCACAGAGAAACCTTTTAAAGGTTAGCATACTCCGATTTTGGTTTAGGGAGAATTGGAGTTAAGAAGCTCTTCCAAGTTGAAGGGCAAAGGCACTAGTGGAAGGGAACTTCCACAATAGGAAGCTAGAAATGAACAGGCTTTTGAGAGGAAAGGTACTCAAGAAAATAAGACTCTTCTGACAGGTAATCATTTGCCACTTCTATTCTATGGCCACCCCTTTTTCCCCTGGAAATAATCCTGAAACCAGTAAAGCCTGCAGGTTAAATAAAATTGGTAGTTTCATTGATTGTTTGTTGAAAGTGAAGCATTCTTAGATGACCTTGAAGAATATTTTTCTTTTTAATATATTTTACCAATGAAATATTTGCAATTGGTCTCCATGGCTACCCACAATAGAGATCTGGGTTATTTTTACAATTTTTTTTTTAAAAGCTGGAAGTAGAGCTGTAGAACACTAGCCTTGAACCAAAAAATCCTCAAGGAAAGAATCCAGGCCCTGAGTTCAAGTCCCAGGACTAGCACACAGGCACACATAAACTTGGGCAAAACCTACAAGCCATTTGGATTCCATGTTGAGATTGAAGTAGCAGCATCCATTTCCCAGGGGAGATTTTACTGTCAACAAACCTGTAACCTTCATTAACATCAATGTTGGCAGTGCTCAGCGTGGACCCTGAAAGTTGAGAATGTGAAAGACTAAAAGCCAGAATTACCTTTGGGTAAAACTGTTTGCTGTATACTTACTTTCATCTGAGTAAGTGCTTTTGACAGGTCAGAACAAGATATTTGATTCCCTACAGAGGAGTTCCTTAATTAGATCTCTGTGAGGATAGGATAACATTTTCCATTTATCTCTGTGAACCTTTAATAAAGACTAGAAGATAAGGCTATGGAGGATTTGGCCTTTGGCATTATTATCAATTCCAGCCTACAGATAAATTCTGGGAGGTCTTATCATGTCCTGAACATTGTGAGTGGCCTATGATATAATCTGAGGCTCTTTTCAGACCTTCCAGGGCCTTGGTGAGTTTCCTTAGAGAAACATCAAACTCTTTGAAATATTTTAAATTTGTATAGTATGATTCATTAGTTTATTTTCAAAATTTGGGGCCTTGGACATGCTAAGCCTGCACTTTTCCACTGAGCTACTCCATGTCTTTGTCTAACCTTTTTAAGGGTACATGAAACAGACCATAGTAGCAGTAATTAGCCCACACAAAAAAATAGCAATACTTAAAACATTTTAAAAATCATTTGTTGAATAATAAATACAGTGGAAAGTGCTTACATTGTTTGAGTGGATTAACCAAAGCTACCTATGCAACCTGTATCCTGCCTGAGCTGTAGGTGTTGCTATGCAACCCTCGGGCCTTCTTCAAGGAAGGCTTTTCTGTGCAGAATTTAGAAGAGCAGTGTGTCCAGATACATTTTCTCAAGGTTCTGGTAGCCCATAAGACCACTTTAGGCATCACATGGACAATGTTTAATTGCTAACTGATTCATTTGATGTGTTAGAAAAATACAACTATTGCCACTAATCCATGCTTTCACACATGCTGTGTAGGATAAGCATAACAGGAATATTAAATACATTTAAAGTAGACTGAAAAAAATAATAGAGCAGGTAACATATAGATATTTCAAAAACTAAAATTCTATACCCTGAAATGACTGAGATTGGGAATACAATGGAATAGATTTGATCCATTCCATCCTATAGTCTCCATGACCCTACCCCTTGACTTCTGCAAGGTGATTCCATTGGATTAACTCATATCTACCTTTCCCTCTCTATCCTACAGCCACAACACAAATTATTTTTAAAAAACAAGCCATGCCTAAATGAGCAGAAAATCAAGAAGATAAAACTACCCTTATCAAAAATGAAAATATTGGGGGCTGGGAAGGTGGCTCAGTGGTAGAGTGCTTGCCTTGCATGCATGAGGCCCTGGGTTCGATTCCTCAGCACCACATAAGCAGAAAAAAACAGAAATGGCACTGTGGCTCAAGTGATAGAGTGCTAGCCTTGAGCTGAAGAGCTGAGGGACAGCGCCCAGATCCAGAGTTCAGGCCAACGACCAGACCCCCCCAAAAAAAAATTTTAACCCCACCATAATTGAAGCAGCAACAGAACAGAAATAGATTCATCGAAGATAAAACAATCCGTCCTTAAACAGATACATGTAAATGCATATAAAGACAGTGTGGGGTGATGGTTGGCTTTTCAAATGGTTGGCTAGGGCTATAGCTCAGTGCTAGAACACTCACCTAGCATGTACACCTCTTGGATTTGATCCCTAAAACTGAATAATAATAATAATGATGATAATAACAGAATCTACAGGAAAAGGTAAGAAATTTTAGCAAAGTGAGTTAGGATAATTAACTCCTCACTAAAGAGGAAAGAGTAAAAAAGGCCAGAGTCTTCATTTTATATCAATATGAATTCTAGATAAATTGAAGATTTCAAAGTAAAAAATTGAAATAATAGAAAATGTTAACTAAAATATGGATGATATATTTATATATATTGCATATACATACCTATGTATGTGTATATGCACAGAGAGAAAGAGGCTAGAATAAGGATCTTTTAAAGAAAAACACAACAAACTAAAGCTGATGAAAAATGCAATGAAATCAGCTGCTTAAAAACATATAACTTCTTCTTACATATGTAAGGCCATAACAAGATCAAAAGTAGGAAAAATAAAACTGGGCTGGTGGCTCATGCCTGTCTAGCTACTCAGGAGGCCGAGATCTAAGGATCACGCCAGCCTGGGCAGGAAAGTCCGTGAGACTCTTATCTCCAATAAACCACCAGAAAACTGGAGGAGGTGCTGTGGCTCAAGTGCTACAGAGATTGCCTTGAGCTCAGGGACAGCTCCCAGGCCCAGAGTTCAAGCCCCATGACTGGCAAAAAGAAAAAAAGTAGGAAAAACACTTGGAACTTATACAACAGATATTTTTCCTTTATAAACCAGCATTCTTATCATATTTTAAATTATTAAAAAGACAGCCAAAGAGACAAACTGGCATTGGATAGGAAAGGGAAGTTAGGAGAAAATACACACATGCTCCTCAGTTTATGATGTGGTCTTGGTAACCCATTGAATATATTGTAAGTGAAAAATGCGTTGAATGTACATAACCTGCCAGACATCGTAGCTTAGCAACACAAGGCACTGAAGAGCTGGTTGTTTCCTCTCATGAACATGAACTTGTGGCTGATTGAAAGGAGCTGTACCTTGCTGCCTGACTTCTCTAAAGAGTATCTCATGTCACTGGTCCAAGAAACT